ATTATATTTGCATGTAAAAGCACTTTGCCGTCTGACGGTCAGTTTCAGGTCGTCGTCGCTGCGCCTATTTTCTTGCGACACACTTACAAAAACACAAAATCTTAATAGCGTGTATTTTTAAAAAGATCCATTCTCGATTATCAATAGGTAGTAGGTACCGTTAAACGTATAACGTTAACGGCAATGATAGGTACATAATATTATAAAACCGTCGAGGCGGTCACAGGTCTATTTTGACTGAAAGTAATGAAGTCAGTCGAGTACAGCTTAAGCGGTCTCGCAATGAAAAGATAATTTTTATTCCGTTTTCATCGTGGTGTATACTTTGAAAACGGCTAGAGTCACTAATTAGTATTCAATACAGGTACCGAACGATTAAAAAAATAAAATAATAAAGCTATGTACGAGCGATACAATTTCCATCGAGAGACTAAACTAATTAATTCATTTACCTTAACTATCTATTACATAATATGCATAAAAATTGTTTTTTTAAAATCATTTTGGTTACTTGATTTTTGAAATTGTGAAACCCCGGATTTGACCTAACACATATGAAATAATAATTGTATAACACTGAAGCCGGTAAAATAGATTATGATAATTAAATACATAATTTATACTGTTAAAGCTATTTGATTTAATAATTAATTATTACAAATATATTATGGTTAGATGTTTGTACAATAAATTATTATTTGCTACTTAATCGAGTTCATTTCATTGAATCAGCAAATAAGTTTTATTAATACTGATATTTAACAAAATTGCATTTTGTCGCTGTTTAAACAAAACTGACACATTCACAGTGTTTGCTGTCATTTTTCGCTGGGTGACGTGAACTAATTATTGTAAGTGTCCACTAAATTGCAGCAGTATAAACCGATTAAACAGTCTTCTTCAATAATTCATTAAATAAAAATAAATCGTTTTTGATTTGTTCACCCTAACAATTATTTGCAAACTTGAAAGCCTAGTGTTAGTAGTATATTATCCTTTGGACGGCCGAGCAAATGTTTTAATGGGGAAAATTCTACTTAATAGCACATCTAAATCACAAAACAAGCTAACCGCAAACGCGTCAGCTTGATAAATTTTATTTGATATTTTCTGAACCAGAACTACTCGAACTATTACTTTACTTCGAGACGAGAAGACTTCATTGTAAAATTGCACAAACAAATTTGTAATGGTTTGAAGTCACGTGGACTTCAAGAGTAGAACTCTAGACAAGTAAGAGACAGCGGTAGTGCCAGCGTACGATATAAAAGCTATTGTATATTTATTATTATGTTGAAACCCGTCTGTCAAATCACTTAGCTCACAAGAAAGAGGTGACAATGATCTTTCCCAACCCTTGCGGCTTGATCCGTTTATCATCCTTTAACCATCAACTGTTCCTTTCCAAACCGTGTTCTCATTGCTTCGTGACCCCAACGCTCCTTGTTCGACAGTGTTTACCCATTTATTATTCATTGTACCTAAGCCAGAACGTAAACGCACAGCTCGTATTCCCAAAAATAAAACATACCCCACAAAACCGTGGGTATCACAAGGTGTTTATATAATCCGCATTATACATTTAAGCAAATCTTTATAATCTTCCAATGGCCCTGCAATGAGTTTACCCGACCCCAGATATACAACAATTGCATACCGAGGGAATTAAAGCGCACACACACTCGTATAATAATTGTATAAGCTTAAAGGAACAATTTCGAAAACTTTATGCAAAATTATACAACGCAGTATGAATTAGTCGGTTTAAAGTATTAAAGTAATAGTAGCGCTACCGGAAACATTTATTTTGAAAGTTTCACTATTAAATACAATATTTTGTATCTTTTTTATGATTTATATTTCGTTTAATTTACATTTAAGTATCATTGAATTATCAAAGAAACATCGAATAAATAACATAAAAACAAGAAACAACAACAAATTTATAGTATATACTATAAATTTGACAAAATAACAATAATAAATGACAAAATAACGTCTTTGTTGATTCTATTCATCCCAACCAGGTGTTGGTTACTCCTTTACAAGTTATTTGATTTTAATAATAATAATCATTATGTTTCCCGTTTTTGCACCAGAATAATCGAATAGCAATCGATTTATTTAAATCAAATAACTATAGTAATATAAATATACTAAGTATCATAAATCAAATAAGATTATATATTGTTAATTTTTTTGGTGACGCGACGATTGGACTTAATCAAAGACCGATTGGGAATCAGTATAAATGAGTAAACTATAAATTTCAAAATTATTGTGTACCATTGCAGTCCTAAAATAAAAAGAACTCAGAACTTATTTAGTCCGGCCATAAAACTGTGTAAATATGCTCTGGGTGTGCTTTATTGACCATGCCGTTCGGCGGCGGCGGTTTCATTCCGAGACGGACGCCAACCGAAAACCACGACAAGCCGTCCTAATTGACTTTTTGGCCAGCTTCTTTGTTTTGCCGGGAAAATCTAATCGCGTTTACATGTCTTTCAGTTAGCACACATAACATAATATACATTGTACGGACGAGGGCAGGAAGGGCGTCCAACATTACACCGTGTGCCATGCCGATCCGAATTCGTTTTGTACAGAACGGCTTATTACGGTTTTTATTTTGGCGACGGAAAAGAGAATTAATGAGGTAACGGGATCGGGGAACAAACAGGGAGCTAGGAAAGACGAAAGAAACGAATATTACATTGTCGCAGGATCTAGAGAGACAGTGGCCGGAAGCAAGGGGCAAAACCGGAAGTGCACGCGCATCGAGTCACAATATTGGCGTTGACCGGGAAACGAGCGATGCGACCGTGGGACGATTTGTGGGCTGAATTAAAAACAAACTAAAGCAGGTTCGTGACCGGCTTGTCAACAGTGTCCGACCATACCTGTCCCATATGGCAAAGGCTTTGGTTCCAAGTTGAATAAGATCTGATCGGTGTCGATGTTGTAATATCCTACCGGAAGGAATATTCTACCGACGTTCCGGGAGCCTGGGCGTGCACGGTGTATATCACACACACACACACACCCGGCGCTACTGATGGCGGGTAGGGATAGAGTGGATGCTTTTCGGACACGAAATAAAGCTCTAAGCCATCATGATGATTTAAAGTTACACCCCATAACCGCCGGCGGGCCCCGTGCTCATTTTATGGCCGACCTTTTGCCGAAGAACTTTAGCGACCATTTGTTATCGTCTTTCTCGCTCATTCATTTTCGACAACCGTCTCAAGACGGCATGAAGAACACATAGTGCGACTTTGCCGGTTTTCAAACGCACACAAACGATATGATGTTATACCTATATTTTTTTAATATCGAAAAATTTTTTCAAAATAAACAACAGACGGTACGCCGCGGTTTTTTATATTAACCACCAACGCACTCGTTAAAAAAAAAAAACATTATGTACACGTCAGCTGTCAGTCGACGACCCCGGAAGGATGTTCCCAATTTCCTATGTATCACATTTTTGGGGTTTTAACTATGTGTGCATTATTACTGACGTTTCCGGGAAATTGAAATTATACTTAAGTGATATAAATACCTTGAAAATGTATGCCACGTAGACCACTTAAGTATTTATGCTATTCGGTGGTGTTATTTGGAGACAACTGAATAAAAAACTCCTACATTAATTATTGTTTTGCCATTTAGTGACGGAAGTAGTATTTTGCACAAATAGAAGGAAAAGATTATTCCTGATATTCCTTCCAAGGACAGGGGAGAGGGAGGGGTATGCTCAGAATCTCTGCTAGTCATCGTTATGCAATTTATAATATACTATTTAATTCTAAGTCGTCAATGTTGAGGAGTTAATAGTGTTATTGTAGTTTAATGTAGTGTATTGTAATTTGTACGTTGAATAGTGTGTGCTGTGTCTTTTAGCAAGCCACACGGTGGGCAGCTCACTTTGAATAAAAGCTTTTTCTCTCATTTAGACTATTGAGCGGTATGAAAAATGAGCTGATGGTTTTATGTGTAACATTCCAAGGATTTTCAATAATAAATAAAACACGTTGATATTGACCAACGAGAGAGCTATATTATATTAGTCGAGACTTGTGTCAGCCATTGGTGTGGTACACGTTCAGTGAAACGGGTAATGCTTTCGATATATTTATTTATGTTAGAGTCAGGACGTGGTTGTCCTGACAATGTGGAGAGAAAAAAGTAAACTCGCTGGTGGGATTTAATCAGCGACTGCTTGGCTCGGTGGCACTTGGCTTGGATTCAAACATGCGGCGCAAGATTCACGTACTTGACAGTAATCAAAAGTCTCCGGCAAAAGTGACAATCTTCGAAATTGCTTGCGAGCACCGCCGGCTGTGTGTATTATACTTACTCCAGTGATTAATGAGTTTCGACAAAGAACAAGCACGTACAGCACGGCGGCAACGGGACAAGCGGTGGTTTCCGCAAGAGTGGCGCGTATAAGTTTTAATAAAGACCGGCGTTAAGACGACCTATGTAGAATAATATTACATTGTAGGATCACACCCGTATATGGCCTCGAAAAGTTAACAACACACTGATATTTATATATATATTTTTTTTAATCTAACAAAAACCAGATGATCCGTTTTTGTCGACGACAGACACTGTGCCATAGCCGTACCATAGCCGCATACAGACCCATTCAAACTAGCATACAATAATAATAATTCATACAATACACGTTGTATGTTACCGGAACACTATGGCAATATTGAATAATGGACGTTGAAATATTTAGCGTTTTCGATTATCTCACAAACGGACTTTTTCACTTTTACATAAAAATCTATAATTGTTTTTTTTTTTAATGATCTTAACTGATATTTATATTTTTGTAATCGGCGAGTGTGTATGTTTTCACCTAAATACTTGTAATTGTCGGTAATTGAATACCGGCGGACAACGTAAGTATAAAATAACTAGTCGACTAAACTTAACATAGAGTAAAAAAATAAAAATAATAGACAAACGTGTTTAAGCACACTTACAAGTTGTAATGTACATCGGCCATGTTCGGTCGATACCGGAGAGCTGTTCTCAGCGCAGTTTCCGCCTCGTCCAATCGTCCTTGACTGCTCAGAATAGAGCCCAAGTTTCCATAAGCTGAAACGGTTAGAAAAAATGTAAATCATATTATACACACATTATCATGGAAATAATAATTAATGGAACCTCGTTTGAATAGCAAATCCAAGTGTATAGTGTATAGTTGAACGACAAACTAAAAGGGAATACGGTTAAGAAGCATTCCGCCACGTGCAGCCTTTGCAGCCGACTGTCTTTGAACTGATTAATTCGATTTCAATACCTTTTACCCGACCGAATAACCCGAAGGAGCAGCTAAGGAGACGACGGGTAGATTAATTCCTTATTGTCGTTCATAGTCTTTCATTACGGTTGTGTCTCGGTTTGATTTGTTGACAAGCCAATTTTACGCTATCAGCTACGTTCAATACTTATACATCTATATACGCATTACTTTATGTCAGTAGTCACAAGAGATGAAGGGGAGAAGAGATATTTATAGTAGCCCATCGAAGACGAGAAAGTGGCTCGGAGAGTAAATAAACAGTAGAAAAGTCTACGGTCGCTATACAAGGTGATCCATTCAACTTGAGACACTCATTCTCTCGGAAAATAATTATGATTTATTGACTATTTCAATTGAGAATAATTTACTAATTATGTTGATTGATCTATATCCAGTTTTCAATAGTTATTTGTAAGTTATTAAAATTAAGAGTGGTAGGAAGGTTGGAGTGTAGTATTATTTTTAACTGCGTTTATTACTCAACCGCATTTCCACCTCCCGTCCTAAATTATAAACTCTAATAACTTGTAAAAGTAGTTATTCAAAACGACCAGTCAAAAATGTCAGCAAATAATTCTTAATTTAAAAAATCAATAAGACATGTATATAAGTTACCGTTTAAGTTTAAACATTTGATAGAGATCTGGAAAATACCAATGTTTATTTTATAATACTATATGATAATATAAGCGAACATTTTTTCAAAAATTATAGCTACAAAATTGCTATTATTTTAGGAGATACTAACTACGTTAAAGGTGTCACCCTGCAGTCAATTTCCTATCAAGACAGTTACCGAAGGGAAAAATGTATTTGTTGATCAACAAATGGGATAGGCGCACGGCGCTAATCAAATTTTCTAAATAAATATAAGTGAACACTGTGTAAAAAGGAAACGTCGTGTATCATTAACTTGTGATTTTAACCTTGCTTGTAAGAACTGATGCACTATAAACAACATAATCGCATCAACGCCGTTTACGTCTCGACGTTGTTGAGTTATTTTGTTTGACTAAGAGGATCCCATTTTTGCACTGACAGACAGTGTAATGATGCAAAAAGGGTAGTCGTGTAAAAATCCCATTCAATTTTCGAATTTATGTAAGTATAACATACATTGGAAGCACAAGCGAATTTTATCGTTGATAATAATCGCATTTTTCCCTTTTTACGGGTATACTTTTTAATAATCAAGCACAAAACCCAAGTCGTTGACAGAACTCGATCGTCGAAGTCCTCCGTCATCTATGCGATTGTAAAATTAAAAAAATAAAGCCTTAGTATTACAATATGGACTAGACCTGAACATAAACCGCGCTGTTAAGCGACAATGAAAACAATACGGTTTTAAACGCATTATTACCGTGTCGTATGATATTATTATGGCCGGTAAATTTATGTTGTAATAAGGTATTGTAAAATACTTGTACAACCCATTAATAACGTCAGGAGTCGGTTGTATGTATATACAACCGATGTGTGTATACCGTGTATATAAACAAAGGCACAAAGTATATTAATATTTTATTAAAATTGTTTTTCATGTTTTGTCGACAGGTAAGGGTTAAATATAACTGTCGACTACACACACACACACACACACACACAAAAAGGGTGAATAGCTTCTTTATTGCAATGTTTTGAAACAACAAATTATTAATACAAACAAAAAAACTCCTTAAAACCCCTTTCGATTTGTCGGAAAGAATTAAACCGAACAAGCGGCACTTGATTGTGTTATCAAAGTTTATTTTCGCCGTCGCCGTCGCCTTTGCCGTTTCTTAACTTTTTTGCATTTGAAAAAAATGAAAATAAAAACTCGAGTTTTTGTGACGATGGTACACTCGCTGCGCATTTTGACAAGCAAAAACTTTTTGCCGATATAAGAGAACTAGTAATTTGTTTTTATTTGGTGCTAAAATTTTTTTGCTCTCCCTACGTTGCGAAACTTTAACGCCAAATAAAAGTAACAAGGCATATAAGAGTGGAAAAATGTGTATTAAAGAAAAGAGAAGGAGCTCTATACGAAGAGTCGGCGGCAATGAGTAAAGAGGCGACGATGCGGATAGAGGGAGACGTGAAAGAATAAAACATACAAAAGTTTATTATAAAGATCCAGGAAATCTGAATTATATTTGAAAAGTTTATTCCACCTTTTGATAGTAGAAATCTTTTTAATATGAACATTGCGTGCCCTTTGGGCTTCACAACTTTTAATGGATAACGCACACTTAATTAGATATTCAATTGAGAAGGAAACTTGCGATTACAATGTGAGAGATAATAATATTGTCTGGGAACGCGACAATCTACTTGTCTCTAAAAACACAATCTTCACATCTCCTTACTCCCCGGGCGGTATTGCGAATCTCACGTATTCTAATTACTATTTAAGACGCCACACCAAGTTTGTACACCGCTTGACAGTAGCAATAAGAATCGCCAAACTAATAATTAAAGGGTTAAATAATATAATACAACAATAACACTTGTGCAACTATAGTTAGCAGTTTTCATATTCCACCTGTAATTAAAACCGAAACCGCCATTATATTATGAAAAGTAACCGATTTTTACATTAGACCTCATTATTGAAGACTTGATAAAAAAAAAAATGTGTCTATTAATTTTGACGATGACCGAAATTCGTTTGGTCTGATTGGAAGATCTGTATATTGCCCGCTTTTCATATGGCGGTGACTTGAATCTATACTGTTATTATTTTAATTTAAATCATAAAATAGTCCAAGCACCCAACGACTAGACACCTAAATCTAATTTATTGACGACATTGGATTAGTTGGCACTGCAACTTTAAATGAATAATACAATAATTTAATAATTTATCAAATAATAATATATCTAAATATGAAGCGCTTTTAAAATATGCCTATTCAGTGTTGTGAACTGTAAGCATGTAAGCCAAATTTTAGAGTGAAGGAAGGTATTTTCGTGGCATAAGCAATTTCGTGATATAGTTTGTTGATCGTATCGCGTAATTATCTATTAGAAAATTGTCTTGAAAATCACACTGATTGTTAAAATAACTGTGTTTTAAGATTCAGTGTGATTTTCAAGACAATTTTCTAATAGGGAATTACGCGATACGATCAACAAACTATATCACGAAATTGCTTATGCCACGAAAATACCTTCCTTCACCCTATAGTAAAAGTCAAGTGAAACAATGCTATTGCATAAAAGTTTTAGACGTTTAACTGCGAGGTAATTACCCTAAGTGATTAACATTGACTAGCAAACGAAATCACGATATAAATTCGTTAAGGTATGTAAATGAATAGCCTAAATTCCTGATTTTTTTTACTTCCGTTGAGGAGCTGAAAAGGTGTTTAAATAAACGGGTTAGGTTGTATAATGACGTGGGTTTTGAGTCTGGACGGGTTATTCGCAATATTATATGCTCAACCGATCTCGATAGTTGGGCTAACTTGACCATAAGCAGAAGTAAGACGTCTCAGAGTCGGTCCGGTGGTCGGTACAACACTGTTAAATGAAAAATCGAAAATCGGACCTACACGTTATTGTGAAATTGAGTAGAAAAGCTATCGAACACAATTTGAACCTTTACGGGATATCCCGTTTCGTTGACCGTACGATGAAAATAGAGTCATTTTCCAGAATTGAGTTTTCCCACGAGGGCCGTATATGTACATACACGTTTTTGACAGGGCCGGCTAGCTAACATTGATAACCCGTTGCCAGTGCGGTACTCGACTTACCGGCGGCGTCCCATCAATCATCAAAATTCGGTACACCTTCGTGCCGGCACGGTCGCACTACACTATCTCATATGATCCATCTGTGTGTTATTTTTTATACAAGTTGCTTTTTTTAAAATTTGTATTGTTTATCGATTTTCACCGTTGTCCGACAAAACGAAAAACTATTAACCTATGTAAACAAAAAAAAAAACCCACCCGACTCGACTCAATGATGTTAATTAGTTTCGTGCCTACGGGGCGCGTTCAGCTTGTTCGGTTTGCCTAAACGAATCAGCGTGGAAACCCGAGAAGGGCGATTTGATTAAAAAACGGTACTGCTTTAATTAAATAAACTCGTTTGCGTCATCCACACACTCTCTGCGCGTTATAATTTCAAACAACAGCATCGACTAATGACCTCGATTCGCACAGACTAACGTAGGTAGGCACCGTTGTCAGTTTAGGCGAGTAAACTTTACTATTATGGCTTCACAACATAAAAAAACAGTAAGTCGTCCCGAAGACAATGTTAACACTATAAATTGTTCTTTCGGCGGATTGAATGTAAGTTAATTGTGTTTTAATAGACCAGAATTCAGTCTGTTGTGAGCACCTATGATGACAGCATTGTTTACCTACGTATACTGGACAGTCTTATCATTATTGTTGAAAATCTTTTATTTTATATTACTTAAGATCGGAATAGTTTTTGTTTCAGTGCACCACAAAACAAAGTTAGCAAACCTAACTAAATTGACACTTTTATGGCATGGTGTACAGATACTGCAAACTACACATTTTTGGAAAATTGTGTACCTTACAATCCTATCCACAATATGTACAAATATTTAAAGCCAGGAAATAGCATTTATTTAAGATGATATAAAAGTTTATTATACGTTTTATTACAGTTTAATACATGTAAAAATGTTAAACAAAAATGTGCTTAAGACATCTGTGCACTATGACATATTATATTAATTATCCTGTCATGAAATATGCGATTATCATTCGATTAGAGTAGTCAAGACACTTGTCGGGGGTCGAAGGTTGACATTACCAAATTATCC